TCTCACCCTTACCTTGGAAGCAGCAAGCAAATAAAAAAAAAACTATATATTTGTACATACAACAAGAAGTGCAACCATCTCCCGCGCATAGAAACATGATCGTCATCAACAAATACGAAAAACTATGTCTTATTGTCACGATCTTTCCATAGGGATAAAATATCAAAACCCTCCCGAAAAAAACAAAAACTACCGAAAAGCCAAAAAGCCAAAAGGAGAAAGCTTGACCAAAAATGCCAAGGCACGGCTGCAGTCGGAACTTGGAGAAAACCAAGTTCGGCTATGAAGCGAAAAGGCTGCGGCAGACGGAAGCGACTGCCAAGCGCAACCTAAAGCAGGGTTGGCGCTACAACAAAAAACACCGAAACGTTTCTTGAACTCACTTTAAAGCTTTAGTCAAAAGAACCACCTTTGTAAACAACAACTTCAAAAATGCTCCGTCCTATCTAGAATCTAGCCTGCAGCCGATGTAGGTCCCAAGGTGTGAGAAGCTGCAATATGGCCGGAGTGTGAGCGATCAGGGCAAGAGCGGCATTCACGACAAAATTGCGCATCATAGCTGCCAAAAAAAAAGGACGAGGGCGGGACGAAACAAACTAATTAGCCAAAAGCTGCAATGTGCTTCATGTGGTGTCATGCCGTGAACCCGCTGGATTGGACCAAACCCCGGAAGCTGGAAGAAACACAAAGGGTAACATTACAAAGCCCTTTGAATCCATTATTTTCGGAGGATACCAGAACAGCTGTAAAGCCAACGAATTCAAAAAATAATCCAAACGTCAACTCATTGAAACACAAAAGACCCGAAGTCACTCAACTCCTTTACCCTTTTCAGAGAATTCTTTCTTCATAATCAATCATTTCCTTTTGTTGTTGGTGACCCCATACAGTAACCAGATCCAAACCATTCTACGTTAGCAACAAACTGTAACCCTGGGGCGTATGCCCCTTTAGGCCCCCCCTGCCCCTATCCTACCCTAAACCCCAAGTCCGAGTTCGCCCAGGGGTTTAGGGCTCTTAAATTCGGCCGCAGAGGGCGTGCCCCGAAGGCCCGCCTTCTCGCCTACGAAGGGGCGGGGACGGGCGAGGCCCGCCCCCTAAGGAAACAAGAAAACCCCTTCCGGCAGTTGCACCTGCCCACGCAGCAGCTGCAACTGCCGGAACTCGGCGCCATGAAATGGGAGCTGGACCTGCCACCTGCGCCCGTCGCGCAGGTGGAGGCGGAAAAAAGCCTCCGCGGCAGCCCATGCTCCAAGCCGCGTCTCAGCGCGAAAACTGACCCAAGAGGCTCGCTCGTGCAGCCAGGTTGAGCCATACAGCGTGCAAACTCTGACCTCAGAATAGCTATACTTTCAAAAACCCGTAATCCAAAAGAACCCCCCCCAAAAAAAAGTACCAATCTTATGGAAACATTATCAGCACCAACCATTATGTAGAGTAACTTCTTGGAATTAAAAAAAATCTTACAACTGGATGCAGGGATGATCCATACATATCCCCTTGTAACAATTATAGGACCGGATAACCCCACATGTTACCAACTTCTCTAGACTTAGACTGAGCATAGAAAAGCAAGAAGGGAAGAGGAAGTATAAGAGTGATGGAGGGGTGATGGTGGGTGAGTTTTTGTGTATGTGTGTATGTATGCGCATGCACAGGTGAGTGAATGAGTAAGTGAGTGAGTGAGTGAGTGAGTGCGTGCGTGCGTGCGTGCGTGCGTGCGTGCGTGCGTGGGTGGGTGGGTGAGTGAGTGAGTGAGTGAGTGAGTGAGTGAGTGAGTGTGTGTGAATGTGTCAGTGAGTGAGTGAGTGAGTGAGTGAGTGAGTGAGTGAGTGAGTGAGTGAATGAGTGAGTGATTGAGTGAGTGATGTGAGTGCGTGCCACACCTGCCGCACAAAAGCCACCAGCAATGCACATTGTCCCACGCCTGCCACGCAAAAGAGGCGGAGCCCGAGGGACGCCAGGGCGTACATCCGACCCCTTGGCAGTGCACATTGTCCCACGCCTGCCGCGCAAAAGAGGCGGAGCCCGAGGGACGCCAGGGCGTACATCCGACCCCTTGGCAGTGCACATTGTCCCACGCCTGCCACGCAAAAGAGGCAGAGCCCGAGGGACGCCAGGGCGTACATCCGACCCCTTGGCAGTGCACATTGTCCCACGCCTGCCACGCAAAAGAGGCGGAGCCCGAGGGACGCCAGGGCGTACATCGACCCCTTGCAATGCACATTGTCCCACGCCTGCCACGCAAAAGAGGCGGAGCCCGAGGGACGCCAGGGCGTACATCCGACCCCTTGGCAGTGCACATTGTCCCACGCCTGCCGCGCAAAAGAGGCGGAGCCCGAGGGACGCCAGGGCGTACATCCGACCCCTTGGCAGTGCACATTGTCCCACGCCTGCCACGCAAAAGAGGCAGAGCCCGAGGGACGCCAGGGCGTACATCCGACCCCTTGGCAGTGCACATTGTCCCACGCCTGCCACGCAAAAGAGGCGGAGCCCGAGGGACGCCAGGGCGTACATCCGACCCCTTGGCAGTGCACATTGTCCCACGCCTGCCACGCAAAAGAGGCGGAGCCCGAGGGACGCCACGGCGTACATCCGACCCCGTGGCAGTGCACATTGTTTCACGCCTGCCACGCAAAAGAGGCGGAGCCCGAGGGACGCCAGGGCGTACATCCGACCCCTTGGCAGTGCACATTATCCCACGCCTGCCACGCAAAAGAGGCGGAGCCCGAGGGACGCCAGGGCGTACATCCGACCCCTTGGCAGTGCACATTGTCCCACGCCTGCCCCGCAAAAGAGGCGGAGCCCGAGGGACGCCAGGGCGTACATCCGACCCCTTGGCAGTGCACATTGTCCCACGCCTGCCACGCAAAAGAGGCGGAGCCCAAGTGAGTGAGTGAGTGAGTGAGTGAGGAGTGAGTGAGTGAGTGAGTGAGTGTGTGAGTGAGTGTGAGTGTGAGGTGAGTGAGTGAGTGTGTGAGTGAGTGAGTGAGTGTGTGTGAGTGAGTGTGAGTGTGAGTGAGTGTGTGTGAGTGAGTGAGTGAGTGAGTGTGTGTGAGGTGAGTGAGTGAGTGTGTGTGAGGTGAGTGAGTGAGTGAGTGAGTGAGTGAGTGAGTGAGTGAGTGAGAGTGTTGTGAGTGAGGAGTGAGTGAGTGAGGAGTGAGTGAGTGAGGTGAGTGAGTGATTAGTGAGTTAAGTTCGGGGAGTGGTTAGTGAGTGAGTGAGTGGTGAGTGAGTGAGTGAGTGAGAGTGACTGATGGAGGGATGGAAGGGCGGGAGGAATCGAAGGACGGAGGGCGGATACAGAACTAAAAACAAAAAAAAAACCCCACACGTCAATGTGGGGAAAAAGACAGTAAGTACCCCGGCCGCCTTCTAAGTGGTTCGACTTCGACTTCGGGTTCGACTTCGGGTTCGGGGTTGGACGGGGATGAAGAGAGGGGAGAACCGCGGCCACCTCGGAAGTGGTTCGACTTCGACTTCGGGGTCGGAGGTTCGCGAGAGTTGTACTGCGGCAGAGAGGGGACCAGGTTCGGGGCCGACGTCGGGTTCGGAGGTTCGATGGCGGGTTCGGGTTCAAGTGCTGCTTCTTTGGGCAAGGGGGGGAAGGAGGTTCGACTTCGGGTTCGGGTTCGGCTTCGGGTTCGGGGATGGACGTGGAAGAAGAGACGGAAGAACCGCGGCCACCTCGGAAGTGGTTCGACTTCGACTTCGGGTTCGGAGGTTCGCGAAAGTTGTACTGCGAGAGAGAGGTTTGCGTGTAAGGCGGGATCTGTACACAGTATATGGGGGGGGGGGCCAGGTTCGGGTTCGACTTCGGGTTCGGAGGTTGGACGGCGGGTTCGGGTTCAGGTGCTACTTGTATGGGCAGGGGGGAAGGAGGTGCGACTTCGGGTTCGGCTGTGGCGGCGACGTTCGCTGTGGAGATTCGACGCGGGTTTCGGTTCACCAAAGATTGTTTGAACGTTTGTCCCTCTTGGGGGGAAGAGGGGGGCGGGAGGAGGGGGGAGGAGGTTCGACTTCGGGTTCGGCGTGGGATGCGACTGCGGGGTGACGTCGGGGTCGGAGGTTCGGGTTCTGGTTCGGGTGTTACTGCGGTGGAGCAATCATTGTCTGCCCATGTGTTGGATTTGTTATGAGCAGGCCAGGGGCGACGTGAGCCTGTGTATGTTCGCAGGGGGTTGGAGTTGGGGTTTCTGTGTGTTTCTGTGGCTTCTGGGCTGGGGGGAGGGCCAGGTGCGATTGCGGGTTCGACGTCGGCTTTGGCTTCAGGAGAAGGGGGGGATCGGTTTGATTGCGGTGTTGGCTTCAAGTATAGGTGCGACTTCGGGTGCAGCGTCAGGAGAGGGTGGGGGGAGCGGTTCGTCTTCGGATGGAAATTCCCGCACCGGTGGGCGTGGGGGGCCGAAGGCGGCGCTTGGGGGGAGGGCCGGGTGCGACGGCGGCTTCGGCCGGGAGGCTATAACGAGAGGTCAGACGGCTAGAGTTCGACGACGTTGTTCGTAAGTAATGCAACATTTCAGAGGCCACTGCGCGGTGTAGCTAGACTTCATACCTTGGACCGGGATACGTTTGTTGCGATGTCTTGTTCGTGATGATGGCCCTGTCACGCACCATGTCCAAACTCCATGACCCACCCACCTGTTGCGACGGCTAGACGCCCGCCGATCATTGAAAGAAGTACTGTAGCAATATGTCTTCTAAGACATGGCATGCAATACCCGGCAGGTCATCTCCTGCATGGCACAAACATCGCGAGGGGATTGAAAACTGAACTGGGGTACGCCTCGCTTGCCTACGTACTGTCCGCACATCTAGCCGAAGCACCCATGAATGCTAGCCGAAGGGCAGAGGCAAAGCGAAGGAGGCCGAAGCTTGCCAAAGCGCAAAGACGTTGACCTGTGGCCAAGTGTGCTACTGCTACTGATGAAGCACATGTGAACGAAAGCTGTGAAGGCAAGACGCACGCGCATCCTGCCAGTGTTTTTGCTGTACGTGTGTCATGGTCGAGGCCGCAGGAAAGGAACTCGTGCAGCGAAACAAGAGCCGCAGCAAAACAACGTCGCATCCTTGAGCACTTTGGCTCGCTGCGGCCTCTGCCCCGTGGCGTCAAAGCGCCAACCGCAGCGTGTCTCCACAGTGCTGATGTCGGAGATTGCATGCACTGTGGAGCTATTGTGGTTCACGACCACTTGGTCATCGGGAGAAGCGGAGGTGAGTTGCAATTCCGCGTCACTTTTCTGTTTCTCGGACGGCTGCGCTAAAGTCTCCGTACTTGCAGCTGGTTCCTCTTGACAATGGACGGTGGGTTGGCGCTTTCTTTTTTTGACTGGTTTTGGCACGCTGCAGGCGCCGTCTCCGTGAGCACCACTGGAGCTTGCAGCTAGCAGGGGTGCAGCGGATGGACGAAGCTGGGCCTGGCAGTATGTGGTCCAAGCCTTCGCACAACTGTGCCGCACATTGTGCTCACGAGCAAAGAGCAACAGAAAAAGTTCTTGGTGCGTAGGCGCAGCATAAGAAAGGACAATCTGCCAGCGGCTAGCAATATGAAAGACTTGCTCAGCAGCCTCAGTGTCAATGCCATGGAGGTCAGGATGCGCAGCTGGATCAACAGCAGGAACAAACCAAGGGCTGGATGGTTGCCGGCAAGCAGAATGGTATCGCAGGTGCAGCCTGTCAACCACCCAGTTCAAAGCGGCTAAGCGTTGCCAAGCTTGCTGGACTGCGACAGGTAGTCCCCCATCCCGCACGCGCTTGCGCACGGTGCGCGCAGCTCCACAAGCATTGTCGTAGATGATAAAGGCCAAGGCAGTGAACAGGGTGAGCAAATGTTGCACCAACAACACGACTTGGGTCACAGACTCTGACGCATACATAGGACGGATGGCCATAATTTGCAGGCAGGGCGATACGGCCACCAAGATGCCGTTGGACTTGCGGGCGACACGGGTCTCAGAGATGCCTTTGCGGTCGTCCTTGTGACCTATATATGGCACGCCCAAAAAAACGGAAAGGAATGTGAAGGATGGAGCACATTGAGAAGGAACACTGAAAAAAATGGAAATATACACAGACTGCTAGTAGATTTATCCCCGCAAGCGACGCGTCACAAATGCATCAGCTGAGGCCGCGGCAACTGTCAGGCTCATCGATCAAAGTTTCGCGCGCTCTTGGTCGCAGCAAGGTCAGCTCATATGCGCGCAGATTCTCCACAGGTACTGCAGCAGCATCAACCCAAGCACCTTGAAAGAGGTACTGCAAGGAAAGACTGTCATGGGTTTGCTTCTCCCGGTGCTTTTGGATGCCAGAATCTTCTGGCGCTATTGGACATTCACCATGCAATCGGCAATATTTGGATCCAGGCGCTGGCCGAGAACAGCAGCCGCCAAAATAGCCGAGGCAAAGCTGGGGATCCCATACGAGTCCAGAGGTACGATCGTTGCACACAGGTGTCTGGATGGACCATTTACCGTCTATCACACATGCAGGAACTTTGTCAAATAAAGGGCACACATGTTGCATACTCAGAGAATCAAAACCTGCGCGGAGTTTGCGCAACAAAGGTTGAAAGTCTGTGGCTTGATGATGAGGACGCAAATGCCACTGAAAGCCTGACAAGGCTTCAGCATCGGAAGCTTCAAGCAGGAGCATGGACTGATGCACCAAAATTGCGAAGAGGAGCTTCTGGACAAAGTGTTCCCGCGCGGCAAACATAGTTCCATGCATGCCGGTGGACCAAAAGGAGACATAAATGTCATAGAAAGCCGAAGCACTCAAGCCACCACGAGCCATGCATCCGAAGATGAAACGCAAGAAATGGATCTCCCAACACACACTTGGAGTTACAAAAAACCACCGTGCATCTGCACGGTCTGGTTGCATATGGCGAGGCCGGTGAAAGCCGTCAGGAAAACGACTGTTTTCGGGCACATCGTCCCATCTCCAGGAGCCACCTGAGCAGCGGCGCTGGGTGGATGTTTTGTTTGGGCCTGGCTTTTTTTGGTCCCGACAACGACATGGAAGAGTGACTATGTTACTACAGACATGCTTGGTATTCAGAAATCCAGCTAGATTGTATCAATGTGAGAACTTGTCGGCACGGAGACGCACTGAGTTGTAGCTAATGAATGCGTGTACCTGCGCGCACATCAAGATATTGAGGTATGAAGTTAGAGACTTGACAATAATGCGACAGTTGTAAGAGTGCCGCGATGTGTCGTAGGAACTCGATAATTATAGTTGAGACGTGTAACGTGGCAGTAAGAAACATGAGAAACGTGAGAAAATGCCGCTGATCTTGGGGCTCGGACCATATACTGCAGAACATGGGAAGCACCGTAGAAAAAGCACTTGTGCTGCAACCAAGCCCCGCGCAAAGGTGAAGCAGTGGGCTTGGACTTGTCGCCACAAAACCAAAGGCCTCCCGCAAGCGCACGTAGAAGGGCCGGAGCAGGGCACAAACTCCAGGACGTTCATGAGCATCTCGGGTTGCTGGGCTGCGAGAACCGGCGTGTATGTAGCAATGGACCTTGGCATCTTCAGTGTGAGGAGGTGTGGCACTGCAGATAGCAAACGGGCCAAAACATGAGACACTGTAGTCGCAGAAGTATTGGGCGGCAGCAAGTGCGCAGCATCGAGCAGGCGGGCAATTGCCGGCGCACGCCCTGGCGCTGCATTGGTATGAAAACCCAAGCAGAACCATCCCAAGGTACAAGTTGGAAATGGGGCCATCAGCGCTGCCAGCTCTGCATCTGACACCATATTGGCCATGGATGGACAGCGTGGTGTAATATTTGAACCTCAAGAATGCAACGGCAAACAGGACCGCAGGCACGGCTAGAAGCATGCACCTGACAGCGGTGCTTGAAAATTGCAGAAACAACTACTGACACAGCAAAGAAAAAAACTTAACGGACTGGCTTGGAAGTAAGCTGCAGGTTGCACCCGTTTCGTTTTGTCTGCAAATGTCCGGGCCTGGTGTGTGTGTGTGGGTCAGAATGCTGGACTGTGTACAGCACACAGCTACAGCAGGGAAGCTGAAGCCAAGCCAAATTTTGGTGCATGAATTGGAAATGCCTATCGCTCTGGAGTGAGCGGGTCGTTGAAAATGTCGCCGGGGGCACTTGGAGGATCCTCATCAGTCGAAGCGACGTCGGGAATCTCAGCTTGCGGCAGGTCTGCGATCAAATCTTCATGGAGAGGAGGAGGCGCGGCAGCACCAAAGCCATCATCACGGAGGAGCACGGCTGCAGCTGGCGCCGCAGCTTCGCCGACAGCAAAGTGCAGCCCCAAAGCAGCGCTCAAGCTTTGAAGCACTTCTGTTGACGGTGACACTTTCCAGACTGTGACGGCAGGGGCTCTGGGTGGCCGAGAAGTTGGTCTTTGTACGGATTCTGTGTAACTGTCTAAGGATGGGACGCTGTCTGCTGTCAGCCCCAGGCAGACCAGGATGGGACGCATCTGTGCTGACACTGTCCGCTTTTCAAAGAACCAAATGCCACGGCCACCACCTGCAGTTTTGATGGACCGACACCACTGCCCCAGACCTAAGCTTTGCAGCATGAGGCATGCAAGAAAGACGCCAAAGTGTGTATGCTCCTTCCAAATCTTGGCCAACTTTCTCTTTGCGGCATCAGATTGGTTCCAGTAGAACCAAGAGCCCACACCAACGCTGAGGACAGCCTCCATGAATTTCAGCAAAGCCATGCAAGGGCAGACGTTGCACAAAGCGCAACAAGATGCCTGGCAAAGCCGCTCCCAACTCTGTGATGGCATCCAGGTCGTCATTCCCAGGGCCATGCTGGCTGCCACGCATCGCAGTCATCAAAGATTCAAAATCATATGTTTTTTCCGGAGGGGCTAGAGGCAGCTGACTGGACTGGATGTCTTGAGCACTTGGGTCTGATGGCAAAGCATGCCCTGTCCGCGCAAAATCTAAAAGTCGCCACACAGCTTCTGCATGGTCGCAGAAGGCATAAGCAAATTGAAAGACGTCCTTGGGGATCTGCGCATCTGCCTGGAAGTTAAGGCCCCATGTATCTGCGATGTCTGTGGCATCCTGTGTCGAGCGGCAGGCTGCGCAGACTGCTTGCAGAACATGCAAAGCTAAAGCCATACGGTTGAATTTCGTGCGGAGCTTTCCATGGTACTTGGCTTCCTCATGTCTCCCTGGCTGCAAGAAAGCATCCTGCTGCATGGCCATGTGTTCATCAAAATTTTCATCCACCAAAGCTTGCGCGCCATCGCCAGGACAGGGTATAAAGGTCATGCCGTCCCGACCGACAGCCCACCGCAGCAATGGGTAGCAAAGGCCCGCCATGAACTGCGCAGGTTTGTGGCTTTGTGTTGGGAGCTTGGCACAAGCGGAGCGAACCTCCGCAATGGTGCTCCATTTGGGCGCACCATAGACGGCGGTGACGCGTTGCCGCAAGCCAAAGACATCCTGCAGAGTGGCCTTATGCATTTCCGGGATGTGGCCACCGGAGCAGCAGCCAAACCAGGGTTTGTGGACGGTGAAGGTGCGGGTTTTGTCCATCACTGGTCTGTGCCAGTCAGAGCCATCCCAAAGCTTGGCAGGCGCGGCACGGTCAATGCTGCTTTCAGCTGTGAACCAAGAAAGAACTTGTTCTATTTCAGGTTCCACAGACAAAGCTGCGCCTCGATTTTGTTGCAAACTCATCTGCAAGCCCGTAGCCGCTAAGGAGCCACCGCCTGCTAGCAGTTGACGACGAGGGGCTTCCTCTCGTTGCGCAGCAAGGTCCCGGTTGTTTTCATAAGCATACAGCCAGTCGAACATAGTTGCCACGGATGTTGCGATGGCTTGCACGACTCCGGAGCTGTTGGTTGCGCCCGGATGTAACAGCACAACCCACAAAGAAGACGGGATGCTGATGGATGGAGCTGGCTCGAAACGATCCTCCGGGACTAAGCCGGAAGCCACAGTCAACAGAGCCAGTAAGCCCCATTCCCAACAAACTGCCGATGTGTCAGCTAGCATATGGGCAGCCCACATGACGTCAGGTAGCCAAGCTTCAAAAGGCTCTGGCTTGAGGACGGGGCATGCCCGAAAGGCGCGAAGCTGCTCATCATCATCTGGACAGCTGGCCTTTGAGGGCGGCATGTGGGCAGACGGTGGACCCACTAGACACTGTGCCTCCGAGCTGTATGGCTTGCAGAAACGAAATTGCGCAGATGCATGAGACGAAAAACGAAGTGCCTAACACTCTCATGCGAAAGCATGCCACAGCCAACGAACGTAAGAACGTGTGCTTGCAGGACGGCGCCTCAGGACGCAGAGTCGCTGAAATAGTGACCTGGCCAGCAAAACGAACGCAGACGTGCGTGAGTGTACGAAGGAAGTCTACACAACCAACTGTCAAGAAGTATGTAGGAAGCGCAGTGCCTTGAAAAAGGTTGTTGCCAAGTAGCTACAGAAGGCAGCAGAAGAAGCGATGACGAAGAGGCCTGCACAGAAAGTGGAACAAACAACATTGTGTCTGTGGGTGGGAATGCTCAGGTACGAGCTATAATGGCTGTGGGGGACTGCACACGTATGGAATGCCCAGGGCAATGGGTTTTCCGTTGAACATGAAAGTGTCGTATGCGGATTTAAGATCCTAATGTCGAACCTGGTCGGAAAGTAAAGCGACGAACGCCCCCAGCTTTGAATCCTGACACCTATAACCGTTCGAAAAGATATGAGTTCCTCTTCGCGTGACATGGGTGGGTGCTAAAAAAGGGTATGGATCGTTCCGCGGTGATGCGCGGGCAAAGCAGGTAGTTTGCATGGCCGGAGAGCAGTGGAACAGCGGCCGAGGATTGCCGCTGCGAGGGGTGTATCCGACACCGTCTCACATTGGCGCACCAGGACCGCCCGAAACCACATGCCGGCAGGGCCAGGTTACCAGAGGGGGTTCGTCTTCTATGGGCAAGTCAGCTGGGACAACAGCATGTTGCCAGAGGGGGTTGGTCTTCTATGGGCAAGTCACAGGGGAAAAAGGTCAGAGGAGGATAAAAAAGATGTATGTGGAAGCTACCGCTAGCAAACAGAAGCCAGACTGCCTGGGAATGAGGAAAGACACACGTTATACTTGAGCTACCGAAGGGGGGGAAAAAAAATATATATATATACATATATATATAAGGGGGGGGCAGACCACATCGATAGGGTAAGGTCTTTGACAAATGTTGCTGCCATGGAACGCTTACAAAATTGTTTGTTGTAGTGGAGGGGGGGGGTTGGGGAGGTTCGACTTCGGGTTCGGGTTCGGGTTCGGTGGTCATTGCGAGCAATATGTGCACAAATCCTGCTCTCCTCTTTATCCTCCTCCTCCGCATGTCTGTTCGCTGGTGACGTCTTTGTCTTTGTTGTCCTCCTCGTCTTCTTCTGCTTCTTTTTCTTCTTCTTCTTCTTCTTCTTCTGCTTCTGCTTCTGCTTCTTCTTCTGCTTCTTCTTCGTCTTCTTCTTCTTCTTCTGCTTCTGCTTCTGCTTCTTCTTCGTTTGCTGCATCTTCGTGTTCTTTTTCTGATGAGGGATATCGTAGGTGGGCCTGGCAGTAGTTTTTCTGCATGCATGGCCAGAGAGCAGTGGGACAGCGGCCGAGGATTGCCGCTGCGAGGAGTGTATCCAACACCATCTCACAGTGGCGCACCAGGACCGCCCGAAACCACATGCCAGGAGGGCCAGGTTGCAGCGCAGAGGGGGTTCGTCTTCTATGGGCAAGTCAGCTGGGACAACAGCATGTTGCCAGAGGGGGTTGGTCTTCTATGGGCAAGTCACAGGGGAAAAAGGTCAGAGGAGGATAAAAAAGATGTATGTGGAAGCTACCGCTAGCAAACAGAAGCCAGACTGCCTGGGAATGAGGAAAGACACACGTTATACTTGAGCTACCGAAGGGGGGGAAAAAAAAAAATATATATATATACATATATATAAGGGGGGGGCAGACCACATCGATAGGGTAGGGTCTTTGACAAATGTTGCTGCCATGGAACGCTTACAAAATTGTTTGTTGTAGTGGAGGGGGGGGGTTGGGGAGGTTCGACTTCGGGTTCGGGTTCGGGTTCGGTGGTCATTGCGAGCAATATCCGCACAAATCCTGCTGCATCATCCCAGCAAACTGTTTGTTTTGGTCGAGGGGGGGTTGGGGAGGTTCGACGTCGGGTTCGGGTTCGGCGTCGGTGGTCCAATATATGCACAAATCCGGCTGCATAATCCCAGCAAACTGCTTTTTTGTTCGAGGGGGGGGGTGGGGGAGGTTCGACTTCGGGTTCGGGTTCGGCTTCGGTGGTCCAATATCTGCACAAATCCTGCTGCATCATCCCAGCAAACTGTTTTTTTGGGTCGAGGGGGGTGTTGGGGAGGTTCGACTTCGGGTTCGGCTTCGGGTTCGGGTTCGGCTTCGGTGGGCATTGCGAGCAATATTTGTGCAAATCCTGAATCCTGCTGCAGAAAACTGCTTTTTTTTGGTCGAGGGGGAGTTGGGGAGGTTCGACTTCGGGTTCGGCTTTGGCTTCGGGTTCGGCTTCGGTGGGCATTGCGAGCAATATTTGTGCAAATCCTACTGCAGAATAATTTTTTTTGGGTCGAGGGGGGGGTTGGGGAGGTTTGACTTCGGGTTCGGCTTCGGGTTCGGGTTCGGCTTCGGTGGGCATTGCGAGCAATATTTGTGCAAATCCTGCTGCAGAAAACTGCTTTTTTTTGGTCGGGGGGGGTTGGGGGGGTTCGACTTCGGGTTCGGCTTCGGCTTCGGGTTCGGCTTCGGTGGGCA